AAACTAGGTATGTGAATGCACAATTACATGAAAATATTTTGGAAAGCTGTATACTGTTAATACAGCATCTCGACATTAAACCTAAACAGGATATTGTCCCATTAATACTGTTCAACTGGGGAAAGAAACGTCAGTGCTATGTGAACACAGACGAGTATTATTCCATGCAGAAAGGAAGGCAGGCATTCTGCTATAGTCCTCCTTTGATACCAAACTTAAAGTGCATCTTTTAAAGAGCTAGTAACCGCTCCGGTGGCCTAGTGGTTAGAGCGTCCGCCTTGGATGCGGGAGGTCGCGGGTTCGAACCTTGGCAGAGTCATACCAAATACTTTAAAAAACGGTACTAACAGCTGCTCCGCCTGGCGCTCAACATTAAGAGGTTGGTGTCAAGATAATGTGACTGGGTGGGACATCATTCCACATGTCTGCGGCATGACGCCCAAGTGCTAGACATCACTGTAAACTGTCACACTGCTGAGCTCGTAGCGATATGACCGAAAAATTGTTAAAGCTACTTTAAAAATATAAATCAAACACACACACACACATACACACACACACACACAAGAAAACAGCTAGTGATGTCATGTAATTCAAGTGTAATTTATGATGGACGTTTTATTGCTTTTCTTGATCTTGAAAACCTCGTGAAAATACAAGTCTAGATCAATTCAAAAACAATTTGCCAAATGATCACAGGTGCAATAAAATCTATGATTTTAATTTATTAAGCATTCAACTTTTCCATAGTAGATTTTAAGGTTAAGAATATGGGTTGCACTTGTTTGTCCTTCACTTTGTCCTTCCTCTCGTCATCTGATCTTATGGTTTTAGTAATCAGCTCCCCAAAAGGTTTCCAGTGAATAATGTCACAAAGCTGCAGAATTGTTACAGACTCAGTAATGTGCATTACCAATATGTTGAACTGTAAAATAATTGCCATGTTTTGAACTTTGTCATTTGTTCCTGTTCTGTACCTCTGTAGGAACTATTGCCTTTGTAACCAACCAATTCTACGATTTTCTATGCATGATCCTGAATATTTGCACAAGGTGCAGACATACTAGCCTTGTGCATCGTGCATTCTGAAGGAACTTAATAATTTTTCTTAAAAAGTATGTTCATTATATGACTACGAATCTATGGCTTGAAATAAAGTCATAGAAAGAGCGAAAACCAACAGGATATTATGAAATTCAACAAATACTTTATCTCTCTGGAATGCAAGGTGAAAATCTTAAAGTAATGTTTATTAAAGTCCATATAATACAAAACGTTTCATCACTAGTCCTAATGAATAAAGTTCTAATAAAAATCCATTGGCATTCCAATTAAGATCCAAAGCTGAAGGTGTTGATTGCCTCTAGTCTCGAATGTGCTAATGTATCAATGGCCTGAAGATTGATGGTGTGCCAACAGTCTTTGACGAATCGCAGTTATATAATCAAATGTTTCATTCCAGAGAATAATTATTTGACTAAAAATACCGAGCACAATAATAAGAATGATTTTGTTTCACGACTTTACAACAAAGAATGGGTACTTTCTTGATAAAGAAGATTATAAAGCCCTTAGCTTGATTTACAACACAATAAACACTTTCGGAAAAAAAATATAATGTAACCGTCCACTCTAAAGATTATTTTACTAAATTATAATATAGAATGTGGTAAACGTCTTGTAAGTTAGGCATTTTCATCCAATAATTATGGCCCAGTCCCAAATAAATGTTTACTTCTATTGATAATGACCATAGTATTTAACCCACAATCATAGTGTCATGTGTTGAATTTTGAAGACTTAGTGAAACGTAAGGTTAAATAAACTGTGCTTTGAAATTAACAAAGTCAAGCCAGAAAGGTCTTGAGAAAGTTTACTGATTATTTTTGGTTACGTTAAACTTCAGTAGCATCCAACCGGGTCAATTTTGCGATAGAACTCGACCGTAAATGTTCAAAAAGGGGCGCATGTCAAAAAATTGATTTTTCAAAGGAAGCTAATTGCAGCATATCTTAGGCTAGTGAAGTCTGATTTTAGACATGATTTTTAGGAGGGAAATTTTATGAACAATTATTTCTGATTGGTCAGGAAAATAAAGGGCGTACACTTTGGGAAACAATTTAGGACTACCCTTTGCCAAAATTCTTTAGTCCGATTTTTCCTTGAAAGAAGGCTAAGACCGACTCTAAAGAAGCCTAGATAGCAGTGCTTCTTTGTAAAGAGGGAACTCGTAGAGAATGGCCAGACAGCTGTCTTTAAAAGAAGGACAGGCTTTAGGCTAGGACACTTTGTTTGGAACGAAACGGTAATATGGTACGCAATTTTAGTTTCCAATTTAATATTCTATTTCATTTGTTTTCTTTTGTTTGCAATTGTGTTGATATGCTTATGATTCACGCATGTATCGTGAATTCATGTCGTTAGATTTATGCCATTTAATTCTTTGATATTTCAATTATTAATTCATTGAGAGAATTGATGAATTGCATGCAATTAAATATTCAATGTGTAGAATTTCATAGGGATTTTATGAATTCACCCTAATATATAAATGTGTCACAATTCTTAGGATATATGACTTGATTTTCTGTGTAGGATGATATTTACTCTTGCGAGTTAATGACAAGTGTATATTTATATGAGTTCGCAAAATTAAGTGATCACACAAGCTGCTTCAGTGTAGCCAGATGTAGAGGATATTAAGCCATAAGAAACTAAGCATTTATTTTACTGAACCACATTGTCTAGCCAAAGTTAAATAAGACGTGTAGATAAGTATACTGGTATATACGACCGCTTTCGTCCGAGAACGCACATGGCAATTCCTTATCAAATGACCGCTTAGTGAAATGAACTTCGAGTTAAGGTCATTTGAACTAAAGTAACAGTATTGTAGCGAAATATTTTTATGCTGATATTTGCAAAGATAACATTATGTCAGAATTTATTCAGAGCGATTCCATTATCTGATGCGAACCAATATAGTTATCTATCAATGTAGAAGTGTATAGCGTGGGACATACATTTATATTTAAGGAAGCAGCTTCAAACAGAGAGAGAGAGAGAGAGAGAGAGAGAGAGAGAGAGAGAGAGAGAGAGAGAGAGAGAGAGAGAGAGAGAGAGAGAGAGAGAGAGAGAGAGAGAGACAGACAGACAGACAGACAGACAGACAGACAGACAGACGCAGGAAATAAGTCAAAGAATGCTATGAGTCAAGGGGAAGACCGCATCTACGAGAGGTCGGAATAGTCTAGGGTCGAAGAGGACCAAAGTACACGTAATAGAGTGGAGGAAAAGGAGATAGACCAGGTGATGCTGTCTATGTTTGAGAATTGCACTCAGGCTCAACACTCGTCAGATGATTGAAAGTAGACCGTGACTAAATTCTGTCACTACATATCAGTTGGCTAGCAAAGTGAATTTTAGCTATGCATTAAGCGTTGGAAAATAAATTTGGTTATGTGTTAATTGAGTAAAATTAATTTAGCAAATCTGTTGAATGAAAGTAATTTTCTTTTTGATTATATGTTAATTGATTAAAATTTGTATTTTAAATATTGATAAGGAGGCTCGTAGTTATTTATTTCTTTCGATAATTTGCTCAGCTATCTGTAACGTTCCATCTATCCGTCCACACTGGGGAATAGCACTGTGGAGATCATTTACTATCTAACGACGCTGAAATAATTAAGGAAGGGTTTAATGTAATGTTTTAAATACCCCATTACACAAAGAAAAATACTATCTTTGTATTATTTGTTTTCAAAAACATGTATTGGCCAGGAACATAACGAACTTGAATTTGGACAAGGTCAAGTGGAAAATACAGTTATCAATGGCATATAATGAAATAAATAAAAAATGACAAATAACGCACATTAAATATACATAAAAATGGGCATATAATCATTAAGCATGATCAAACGTTTATGAAGTATTGCCTTGAACGTTTATTCAATGTTTGATCAGACAACTGAGGTTTACATGATGCATTATGTGCTCAATATTTATGTTTTTAAGGTTTTTGACCATTCAACAGTTCAGGATGCGTTCTTTGCTTCGACAAAGTGAACAGTTGTTGAACGTCTAAATGAAATACACAGAATGGGCTCTGAGTTTAGTAAATCGATTGCAGGCCCAGCCCTATTATGATGCGGGTTCCAAGGCAGCATGTGGGGCCCAAGAGGGCAAGCCATGATCGCGAAGTCCCAAGCAAAAAAAAAATTCATTGCGGAGGAGTGCGGGCCCAACGCGGTTGCCTCTTTCATCTCGCCTTATGTCCAGTGCCTGATCGATTATCTGCAAAACTACCTTGGCTTGCACTTGTAACTTTTTATGATTAAGGCAAACATTATTGGTTATGCATTGAAGATAGAGGTAATTGAAGTGAAAGATACCGCATTATATGTACTAATCACACTATTGAAGATAGAGGTAATTGAAGTGGAATATACCGCATTCTATGTACCAATCACGCTACTGAAGACGGATACCATTGATTTTAGTATGACATGTATATACTAGCTTGTGTATCAACCTAATTCGATAATACTTTTGCAATAAACCGTCCATGCACAAGTATATTAAATTGTTAATTTCTAGAAATAAGAAGATCTAGTCAATCTTCGAGTTTTCTGGTATGGATCAAATTCAAGATTTTGAAGGTGAAGAAATATATAAGAAACAATTGCTTCACTACCCTCGGCATGAAATGATAGAAGGTTGAATTTCTTCAGTTTTTGTTCCTCAGCGTGATGCGTATAGAATTCATATTACTCTGATATGACTCTTACTTAAATTTCCAGTCAACATTATCCTTTTCAAAATTTGTTACTTACTTAAATGTTCAACCACTGTAAAATAATTATTACTAAACCTCTTTAAAACAGACCACTCTCACAAGCTCACCTTCAAAAAACCAATAAATGTATTATCTCTCACCTGAATTTGCCTATCATCGTAGAGACCGGTTATAAAGAAAAGCTATACAATCCTCTTTCGTTCCGGTGGCCTAAGTGGTTAAAGCATCCGACTCGGATGTGGGAGGTCGTGGGTTCGAAACCAGGTTGAATCATACCAATGACTTTATCAGCTGCCTCGCTTTGAGATCAGCATTAAGAGCTTTAAGAGCATATTGTTAGGACTGGCGTCAGGATAATTTGATTGGATGGGACATAATGCTATTCATCTTTGGCATGATGTCCAAGAACTAGACGTCACTATAATTTTCCCCACTGTAGACATCGTAGCAATATGACTGAACAATTGTTAAATCTACTTAAAAAATCTAAATCACACACACACACACACACACACACACACACACACACACGTTCCGTTTATCGTCTTATGTAATGCAATGGTAGGCCTAAACTTCTTAAAGGTACATCAGCTGAAAATAGTTTGTTTCATGAATTTTCCCTTAAATATTTTTTCTTAGAACAAAGTAAAAACATTAGTTTGAGCGCTAATGATAAATAATGTATTTGACTTGCCCTTGGTAAATTATAATGTTTATATGTCACTCGACGTGAGCGATAAAATTATTGACGCGATCATACATCTCCAGTTACAATATCGGAGATTCCCGGATATTTTTTTTTTCTCGGTATGAGGTAAGATACATTGGATTGTTTACGTGTGCAAACACACTATAGGAGTAAAGAACATACTTTTCAACCTTAACAAGATATAACTTAGCACTGATAATTGGTCCGTATGAGGTATTTGCGCGCTGAGCTACGTGCTTGGATAGACGAGAGCAAAAGGTGTCGGTAATGAAGAAGTGATGTATGTGTTGTATATGCTCTCTCTCTCTCTCTCTCTCTCTCTCTCTCTCTCTCTCTCTCTCTCTCTCTCTCTCTCTCTCTCTCTCTCTCTTATACTTTTCAACCTTAAAAACATATAAATTAGCACTGATAATTGGTCCGTATGAGGTATTTGCGCGCTGAGCTACGTGCTTGGATAGACGAGAGCAAAAGGTGTCGGTAATGAGGAAGTGATGTATGTGTTGTATATGCTCTCTCTCTCTCTCTCTCTCTCTCTCTCTCTCTCTCTCTCTCTCTCTCTATATATATATATATATATATATATATATATATATATATATATATATATATATATATATATCATCATCATCATCATCATCATCATCATCATCATCATCGGCAGCTTAGTCTCGGAAGACCATTGATTAGCGCCCTTTGAGTGTTGTTTATTTCTGGGGTTTAAACATCGTTTGCTATGGCTGTGCACGCCAATGCGCGAGTGACAGTCCCTATTTCAGTTGGAGCTGACATACAGGGAAGTCTGATTTACTTGGTTTGCTGCTGCACGCTTCTTTCTCTCGCGTTTCTCTGCGGCCTGCTGGACTCTTTCCATCAGCGAACTCTATGCCCTTGTTAACTGTCATTATCCAATTGCCACAATCCTCGGCCTGTACTTCCCAGCTGTCAGGTGAAATGTCGCATGCCTTTATTTCCCTGTTGCACACCACCCTGAAGCGGAATGACGCACGGCTGATTCTTTTGGTGTCCGTGGCCCACTGGCCATATAGGATTTCCTTTGGCAGCCTCCCATTCTCCAAACGTCGGACATATCCCTGCCATCGAAGGCGGCGTTTGCTCAGCAGGGAGTATTTGCTTGAGTAACTTGCACGTTGAATGATCACGGGTGGAATGTGGTCTTGCCAGCCCATTTTCAGGATGCGTTGTAGGCATCATATGTGCAAGGAGTTTAGTTGACGCTCTTGCCATGTGTAAGTGCTCCACGTCTCACTTCTATATAGGAGGGTGCTCAGAACGCAGGCTTGGTAGACTTGAATCTTGGTGTGCACTGTCAACGTGCTGTTTTCCCACACCTTCATTGTTAGTCGGGCCATGATGGTGTTTGCCTTTCCAAGCCTTCTCTCCAGCTCCACATGAAGCGAAAGAGTGTTGTTGATGGTTTATCCCAAGTAAATAAAGTTATTGACTACTTCCAGAGTGGTGTCGTCAATTTTGATGGAAGGAGCAGTGGTGACATCTTGAACACTGACATTTGTCTTTTTTAGGCTGATGGTGAGCCCAAACAGTGTACATGCATCAGTGAAACGGTCTCCTAGTCTTTGGAGCGCATCCTCAGTGTGGGTCACAAGAGCCGCGTCGTCAGCAAAGAATATCTCCCTGATGGGTACTTTTCCTCACTTTGGTCTTTGAGCGCAGTCCTGCAAGGTTGAACAGCCTCCCGTCGGACCTGGTGTGCAGATAAACTCCATCAGTGGACGTGCTGATGGCGTGGGACAGGAGCATGAGAAGAAGATGCCTAAAAGGGTTGGTGCCAACACGCATCCCTGCTTCACGCCGCTATTTATCGGTAAGGAGTCTGAGGTGGATCCATCATACAGGACTTGTACCCTTGATATCGGTATGGAAGGAGATTATCATGCTGCGATGTTTTTTTTTGGGGGGGGCAGCCGATCTTCCCGAGAAGTTCAAATAGGCCCTTCCTGCTGACCAGGTCGAAGGTCTTGTTGAAGTCGATGAACATGATGAACAGTAGTTGACCTTGCTCTCTGCTTTTCTCTTGGAGTTGTCGGAGGGAGCAGATTATATATGTTGTCGACCTTCCTGCTCTGAAGCCGCACTGGGATTCCGGGTACACGCTATCCTCCAGCTGCAGCCTGTTGAGGAGGAATCTGGCAAACACTTTCCCAACGATGCTGAGAAGTGAAATTCCTCTGTAATTGTTATAGTCACTGCGGTCTCCCTTGTTTTTGTAGAGGGTCACAATGGTGGTGTCGCGCATGTCTTGAGGGACTGCTCCTTCCTCCCAGCAGAGGCAAAGTACCTCATGCAAAATTGCGATTGTTGTGTTAGTGTTTATCGCCATTTCTCAGCGCAGGATGGACTAATTTGCCTGGAGGCCGGTATAGCTGCTGGAGAAAGAACCCGAGAAACTCCATGTAAGAGCCACTGACCAACTGAAGCTGCTAGCAGGTACCCGTAGTAAGAGCCTTAATGGTGGAACTATGTGGCATTAGTGGCGAATAGGATATAAATATGGAGGAACTTCTCACTGGAAAGTCTTTAATGGCCAGGTAATTGAGATCATAGGCAAATATTTAAATTGAATGTGTCATCCAAATCGTATCTGAGAGCCTTACACTTAGTTTTGAATTCACCCTTTTCATCCATAATGTAGTGATAGTGTGATTTAATCCCTCATTAACATTATATACACTTTAACGAGAAACCTCATTTGAAGGCATTATACCACAATTAGACACCCAATGACCCCGATAAAAAAATGTATTCACGTTAATGAAACAAACATTAGTAATAAAGCGTAGTATTACATAACAAAACCATAAGCAAAGCAGAATAAAACACCTCATTTGAGGGCATCATACCACAATTAGACACCCCATCCCCCCAATAAAAAATGTATTCACGTTAATGAAACAAAACATTAGCAATAAAGCAATGTATTACAGAACAAAAACATAAACAAAGCAGAATAAAATAATGTTTAAAATAAACCAAATGTTTCAAAGTATTTTGCAACCATTTGAACCCTGATACTTTTTCATCCTCACGAAACCTTAACATTGAAAATAATATATCAAATTACGTGTATAGTATGATCTTCAACGTTATATTGGAGCGAGAATATAAACTCAACAGCTTATTTTCAAGGTAAACCCATGTAACCAGTAAAAGAGCACAAAATATTAATTCTAACAGGAGATGCAGATGGTTGCCAACCAGAAATACACTCTACAGCTTCAACTTAAATCACAGTCTAACAGCTTCCATATAAATCTCTCATGCACCCATATAATTCGTGTAAACCCCCCCCCTGAAATTCATATTGTTTCATACAATTGTTAAGTCAGGCGGACTAAATTACTGCACTAAATTAAAGAGAAATATGCCACACATTTCCGCACCATCATATATTTTTATATCATGAACTAGTAATGTAATATATTATGAACTAGTACTCTATTACTGTATATACTAGTACAGTATGCGCTAGTATTTTATTACAATAGGAACTAGTACTACAGTAGAAATTTGTGCTGTATTATAGTATGAACCAGTACTGTATTATAGTAAAACACAACCAGAAGGAAGCTAAATCAAAATTAGTGAAACCAATTTTTACCAGTGACTATAATGTATGCAAATGACCAACATTGCGTCTCACGTATCATCCTGAAACAGATGGTTTAACCAATCTTACGCATTTTCTGAAGAACAAAATATAAGCCTTAAACACAAAAATCATCATACGTATTGGTTGTTAAAACAATCAGTTACATATCCTCTTACGCAATACGTTACAAACCAGTGCTATACAGCGCAATTCATTCACATTTTTTCATCAAATGAAAATAAAATCTACGTTTGCTATATCTTATGTTGACCTTCCGAGCATGCGATTTTACTATATGGATGCTAATAACTGCTAATAGTGTACAAAAGGACATCAGTTGCAATGAGTTCTTGCATGACCGTGACCGTATCCTTGAGCAAAATGGTACGTTTAGTTTACACCTTGTAGAATCCTAAGTAATGAGACTCGCTTTCCTTATGAACAAATGCATCCCCCGATATGCCGAGATATACGTTTTCGTTCTCTTTTAGGTAAAACAGTCGTCCAAAATAAGTATTCTGATGGGCCCCAGTATCAGATGAATAATACTTCTGACTTATTGCTGAAATGGAGCAGGAACCTTGCTCTCCATCTATCCCGTGTGGACATATGTAAAGAGCTACTTTCAGCGGCGCACGAGGCATATCAAACACTGTTGTGTTCATATTATCCGAACCAGATGTAGTAAGATTACTTCCTTTGTGTTGAATCATAGCGTATATAAAGTACATGCCAGGCGATTTAACTCTGACAGAGGCACCGTTCTCATTCAGTTGACCCCAGAGTCCTTGATGATCCCTTGAAACGCTGCGCTGCCAACCAACAAAATGAGTTGATTCAATGCGTTCTGCAAAATATGTGAGATACTGAACTGTTACATATTTTAATCACAAGACAACTATCGTGTTTAATCTTATCATATTCCTATATTTTTGT